CGGCGCGCTGTGTCTTCCCCGCCAGCCACCTGCACGAGAGGCTGCCCTGCGGGACGCACGAGGGCTGCGCTTCAAGTTTGCATGAAGAGTAAAAACGGGCACGAAAAGCTCTAGGAAAAAAAAGGCACAGGCAAAAAACCAAGTCGTTTATCTGCTCAGAGCAGTATTAGCCGCAATTTCTGGAGGCGCGGGCAACCTCACGTGAAGGAGAGCAAGCCAGCTGACGACTTCACGTCTGCTGCCCTGCAGAAAGCAGCTTTAAATAATTAAAAGAGTAAAGAAAACACTCCTCGGCTCTTTACCTGCATGTCACAAGGCAACGTGATCCATTTAACATTCATGTAGCTGTGCAGCAAGTGCAGCTTTGCTTCCAGTGATAACGTCACGCTAAAATTTAAAACAAGGATGAAAAAAAAAAAGAAAAGTTAGAGTCAAGTTTCACTTTAACAACTGAGGTTCCCTCCTCCGTATTTACAGTTATTTGCCTTCTTACTTGTCGTCTTGTTATTTGTCATCTCTGTATTTAAATGCATGTTTTAACACAACAGGGAAAACTGCACCGAGACAGCAGCGGTACAAAAGGTAACATTTTTGTAGCCTTCCCAACCTTTCAGTTAAAACCCAAATGAATAAATAAGACGACTCCTGGATGTCAAAAATCAAGCTTGCTACGAATTAAAATTAACTCGACAGATAATCTTACTTGTACATGAGACAAATAACAGAAAAGCAGATGTCGCAGACCTAAATAGAGCTAGTTTCAAAATGATTCTCCTCTCCACAAAAACAACTTCAGAAAAAGAGTGAAGATGTTTTCTCAAAAATTTCCACTTGTCAGAAAAAAGAAAAGAAAGAAAAAGAAAAAAAAAAAAGATTCTTTCCACTAAAACCACGGGGACAGAGTCTTTTCTACTGGCTCCAAACCCCTCAAAATGAGATACCGTATCGGTAAAACCTGCGCTGAATTTTAACACTTTGATCGCGGAGGTTTCTAGGTTTCCTAACCCGAAGTCAGACGACGGAGAAGTCAACGCCGCCAGCTCCCTGACCGCTACACCCGCCGCTGCTGGCTCCCGCCTCAATAACAGGAAACTCGCCACTACCAAACCGTGACGCGGCTCGCCCGTAGTCCGAGGCAAAAATAGGAAGGGTGGCTGACGGCAAGCCATCCTCCCAGCTCCAGGGCCCCCGCTCGGAGATATCTGTTATCCTCGGGTGGGGACAGAGGAATGGAGAAATCCCCCTTTTTCTGCGTGAATCCGACAGCCGATCCTTCGTTGCTTCTCGTTTGCGAGCTACGCCTGGTCTGAAGCCCCAGGATTTGGGGCAATCGTCTCTTTACCTTGGGGGAACGAAGCTGATGAGGTGTCACAATCCTACCCAAAACGTACCGAAATCAGGGCGTCAGGAGAGAACGAAGTGAAAGAAAAAGCTGTTCCATCCCCACCAAAGAGGTTCATACCCCGAGTACAACTTCCATCCAGACACAAGAAATCCCCGGCTGGGGCCGGGGCAAGGGACCCTCCAGCTGTCACCGCTCCAGCCTGCGGTTAACCAACCTGGCCAGCCTGACGTTGTCGCTGTCGTCTTTTCCCCACTGCCATTCCTTCCCGGGATCCACGGCAAAGTGCACGGGGAGCAGCTTGTGCTCGGAGTCCGTCAGGGGGATCACAGCTGCACGAGGGACGGAAAGCGCACTTTTACTGCCCGAAAGGACAAACCTTTCACGTTGGCAGCCGAGCTCGGAGTGCCTACCAAGAGCAACGTCCGCTCTGACGGCAACCGGTGTCGCGCCAAATCACACAGCGACTGCCAGTGCTTGGGATCATGGAATCATCACAGAATCACAGAATGGGTTGGGTTGGAAGGGACCTCTAAAGGTCGTCGAGTCCAGCCCCTCTGCCATGGGCAGGGACATCTTCAACTAGATCAGGTCGCTCAGAGCCCCGTCCAACCCGACCCTGAATGTCTCCGGGGATGGGGCATCCACCACCTCTCTGGGCAACCCGTGCCGGTGTCTCACCACCCCCAGCATAACAAATGTCTTCCTTAATGCCCACCCAGCATGCGGAGGCGGCCGATCTTGTCCATGAGGAGGGCCGAGACGATGTTCCCGGGGAGGACGGCCAAGGCGGCGCCGAAAGGCCGCCGTGAGCTCTCCCCGGAGCCTTCTCCAGGCTGAACAACCCCGACCCTCCCAGCCCCTCCTGGCAGCAGAGCTGTTCCAGCCCCCCGAGCATTTTGGTGACCCTCCTCTGGACCCGCTCCAACAGGTCGGCGTCTTTCCTGGGCTGAGGGCCCCGGAGCTGGACGCAGTGCCCCGAGGGGAGTCGGGGGGGATCTCACCGGAGCGGAGCGGAGGGGCGGAATCCCCTCCCTCGCCCTGCTGGCCACGCGGCCCAGGGGACGCGTTGGCTTTCCGGGCTGCCAGCGCACGTTGCCGGCTCGTGTCCAGCTCTTCACCCACCAGTACCCCCAAGTCCCTCTCGGCGGGGCTGCTCTCAATGCTGTATTGGTATCAATCTTGTTTATCACCTACCTTGATCTTTTGTGGGTTCCTTCTGCTCCATGGATACCAGGGCAGAAAAATGGGCTTGGTCGTAAGCCAGTACCAAGGGAGAACGATGGCATTTGTTGGCTGGGACTTCCAAGGGAAGATAGATCCCTCCAAAGGGAATAGGAGCAAAAGCTGGAAAGAAATCAGGGCGGTTATTTTTCGTAATAGGTTAAAGAGTTAAGAGTTGTTTGTACTGAAACTGCTCCAGAACAAGCTGTTTGCTTCGTTCAAGGTTTCACCGGCAATCGTCTGTCAGCTCGAGGGCCACTAAAAAAAAAAAAACCCACCCCCACAACCCAAAATAGACATCTATTTTACATCAGGAGGAACACAGTTGCAAAACCAACCTGTACTTTCTATAAAAAAAACCCTTCTTCACTCCTCCACAAGACAACTTAAAAATTTGCACACAGAATGACGGTAATTGATACATCTTTTCTGACAGGAAATTAAGTCTGCCGGTGGAAAATACTACAGGCAGGGAATGGAATTTCCCATCTCTACGCACACGTGTGGGGGCAAAAGAAGCAGAAAAAAAAAAAACCACAACCCATCACGCAGATGCTCTTAGAAACAGCAAAAGATCAGACCGCGACGCTGAGCTGTGTCTCTCATACCCTCCACGGGAATCACCCACGGCACCCTGCAGCACTTCAGCGCACCCCGTGCTCCGCTCTCCGATTCAATATCGGGCTTCGTGGAGCGAAAAGACCCCGTGAAAACATGCGGTAGAGAGGAAGCACGCGGTCTGAGCGTGCACAATCCATCAAGACTTTTAAAAGAGGGTGCAGCTCTCACCTTCTCCCCCCGAGTCTCGCAGCATCGTGTCCGCCACCACCACTATGGGTCTCTTCAACACGTGGGCAAGGACGAAAACGTGGAACTCCTCCAGGCTCTCGTACGCCGGCTCTTCCGAGCTTTCAACGCTTTGGGAAGTGAGAAAGAAATCAAATTTTCACCCCTTGCGCATTTAATCATTGCTTTTAAAAATAGGCAGAGGTCTTTATAGGCAGCCACGTAGAGGCAGATCACATTAACAGCATTAAGTTTGATCTCAGCTCTGATTCGAGATGTAGATCCAAAATTACATCCTACTGGAAGACAAGGGTTGTCTCCAGGAGATACCCCATTGCTGCCTGGCACTTCTGGGAGCCTCTTCTCTAAAGAGCCTCAGAAGTGGTGTCTGTTTGGGATGGCTGCGGCGACAAAGTGCCCTTGAGACACAGAGCGAGCACTGCAGAAATTCTCAGCTTTTGTTTACTGCTCTCATTTCGGAGCCATCGACACGATGGAGCACGAGAAAAGATTAGTTTTCCGCTCAGTGTATGCGTTACCCCACGAGAAGGGGTTGGGCAGCATTTAAATCGTTTCCCCGTGATGCTTTATGGACCTCTCGTCGTTCCTCGCGATCCTTCCCCTTCAAACCCTACAAGCTGGGCCAAAGCAGCAATCCCCAGCCTCGTCCCTTGACCTGCCCTTGAGAATTATCCCGAGCTGTCCACTGAAGGAAGATATTCGCTGCGGTTTACATCTAGACTTATTATTTTTTAATCCAGTCCCCGCCACGTACCCTCCGCAGCCGCCCCCGTTGGTGCCGTAGTGCACGCGCGGCTCGCTGGATGCCAGCTTGGTCAGCTCGTTCCACTCCTTCTGCCACTCCTCTTCGGTGTAAACAAGACCAGACTGGAAAACGGCAAATAAAACCCCAAAAAGCTTCAGAGTGAGTATTTTCCAATCTCTTCAGTACAGTTTTATACACGCAGCCACAACTTTTCTCTAGGGATTTATGCAAAAACAATCAATATATTATGCAAAAACATGCACACTTCCAAATCTGTGTTCTCAAGCCGGCCGGGGAGATAATCTGCTTGAAAGGGAAGTTTGCCTTTTTGCGGGGTGGAAGTAAACATTTCAACCCACGGATCGAGAGGAAGCCTTTATTCTTACGCTAAATCCCTCCGGTATTAAAGATGACATAATCTATTGACAAGAGACAGGGGCACAGATAATCGGACTAGCGAAAACACAGGTTTGCCTTTAGAATTTATTTCCCTTCAAAAGACAAGAAGAGACACCACAGCATCCGGAAACATTCGCTTCAAGGGTCGCGTTGGTATTTCAACGCACGGCGAACCTACATTTTACTGGCATTTCCTTACATTACGACTGCAAAACGCCCGCTCTGCAATCGCGCCACGCGCCACGTCCCGGTCCGAAACGGCGCTCCACCGAGCGGGCACCGCAAGGGAAACCCAGGCAGGGCACAGCCCTCTCCTCGCAAAGCCGCGATGCCCTGAAGCCACCCGCCGCCCCGTAGCGGTCCCTCTACGGAATACGCTGCCTTTGGTACAACCATCCTACTCGATAAAGCCTGCGTCGAGTATTAGATTCAGGAATCGCACCTTTCCTCCTTCGTGCAGAAGCTTTTCAAAGAGCTTCCAACGCAGTCGCGGAGTTGAAAGATATCGGAAGCCATATTCATCCCAAGGAAGGGGAGAAACACCTTAAAACACGAGACCGCGCACAAAGCTAAGCTCAAGCCTGCTGTGTTTAAGGTCATAAGCCGAGGAACGCGACGGGAAGGGCAGCAGCCTTATCCTCCTCCTCCTTTCCCCGGCTCCATAATCGGAGCTCCAGCATCCAAACACAACATCCTAAACCCTCAAAGCTGCCAAGAAAACCTTCAAGCCGTGCACCAGAAGTAACCGATGGCACGTTCAGCCCTCCGCTTTGCTCCATAAGGTATTAAGTTTCTCCGCTCCCGGTTAAGCCGTCAACGCGAATTCTTTCGTCGCTGATCTAAAGCTTGTGAAGCCAAGCATGGGAGGAGAGTATCGCACCCAGGGCGGGTTGTGAAATTCAGAGCAACATCCATCACCCTGGGCTGCTTCTTTCAGCGCTTGTTTGGAAAGGAGGAGCTCGCAATCCTCGACTTCCAGCCGACCGCTTAAGCGGTACCTGCAATTCCTGGACCGTCGCACCACCTACGTCCCACACCCACTGCCGAGATCCCTCGGCTTGCGCTGAGGACTACGACCAGGGCACGACACTACCACGTCCTATGAGTATTTGCGAGTCCTTTTAAGACCTGCAAGTCACGGTACTTTGCCGAGGGCTAATTCTGGAGCACGCAGTTTAAAGAGACGCATAAAAGCATGCTTTTAATAATAAGCGATCGGAGACTTTACTGCTAACTACTCCGCTTCGAACAGGGCAATACGTATTGTTTCAAGCCGTCAAGATAGGAATCTTTGTGCCCTTCCAAAATTAAAAAGGAAGCTGGAAAGTAAACAACATCCTTCAGTGTCAGGTGGAAACAAAAGTTTACCCCGTTCGCAAAAACATCTCGACACGGAGGGGCCCTCTCTCGCCGCGTGGGGACGTCTGGTAACTTTCCACCTTGAAGAAGTCATGGCCCTGCTTTTGGGGGGGGGGGGGGGTGTTGGGCGCAGGCGTA